ATTTATAATTGTTATGGTAAATCTACTTATTGTCACAGGGGTTTGATAATGTATTTATAATTGTTATGGTAAATCTACTTATTGTCACAGGGGTTTGATAATGTATTTGTTATTGTTATTTCTTAAGGCTGTTATTGTGTTATAACATAATTGCGCTTACCATAGTTACTCTAGTTAAAGTGGGTCTTACAAATAAGGTCAGGGTCAACAATAAGCATAGATTGTCACAGGAAAATCATTAGAAAGTTATTTGAGGATCAAATGTCAAGATTTTTCATAATGGCCCTTAAGGAGACATAATTTGAATAGGAGTAGGTAAGTATGTTTCCATGCTATGTTTACGGAGGTTGTTGGTCATGTATGTATGTATGTATACATATATCTACTATTTTACAGTAGGACTGAATATGTAGCATGATTGAAGTGATGGGGGAATCAATTTCTCAAGGATATATATGATTTATACCAGAAATGCTTCAAGTATAATTTCCAGACATTTTCTGGTGGTTTTGTTAGACAATTTCCATCACAGAAGTAGTGCTGTACATTTGTACTATATTTTTCCTAAGTTAAGGGAGCCAGAGCACAATTACCTCTGACTCAAAGTAGAGAAATGGCCGTAATGATGAACAAAGATATAGCATTTGTGGATATTTCTTCTAAACCTCGTGTAGATGTGTGTGGGCTTGTAATTATCATCAAACATGGGCTTATTGCCAAATTACTTTGGTATATGGTTATGATGAAGTCAAATAATGCTACTTAGGAACATGCAGTTTTCCATATGTGACATAGCTCATTAATTTGAATTTTTAAATTTATCTTGTTTCAAGATTCTGCTTTTGATTTACAAAAAAAGGAAGAAAATATGATGTCTAATATTTGAGAAAAGTTGTTTATAAAGAATTAGAAAACCTCCAATTATAACATGTGTACCATATATTTTGCTCATTAATGCTGATGCATGTTCTCTTTAAGATATACACAGAAAGCTCACACATGTTCTCTTTTGTTTGAGAAAAGGTACACGATAATACCTACTGTTGCTTAATAGGTTTGAAGTCAATATTTTGATGACTCCAAATACTGGTTTCTACAGTCTTGGATAATTGGATAAAGGTCTAACAATATAATCTGTTGCCTTGGAGCTATAGAGCCTAATCAGTAAGTGTTATGTCATCTCTCACATAAAATTTGTCCAGGAAATTCAGACAATCATCTAACATGAGAACTTGTGTAATATTGCAGCAGTGAATGACTTTCAAGTTGATTGGTTCCTATAAGTATCAGGCCAAACCGTAAACTTGTTGACAATATAATTATATGATCAAGTGTTGCAGTGTGAAGAAAAACACTGTTGTCAAATAATTCAACCTTCACCTTCATGACTCACAGAAAAAAAAATATGTAAAATGGCTTGAAACATCATTGTCAATGGTGAATTTCTTTGGAATGGTGATCCTTAGTAATTTCCATTCTTTGTAGCTTTTCCTACATGAAGTTTGAATGTAGACATATGATTGATACATGTAGGAATCTTCATTGTGTCTCGTTCTGAATACATTTTTATATCAGACAAAACCCTGTTTTACCATTTGTGCTAACATATATACCAGTATAGAGGACCACATGCATGTCACTGCCTGACAAAAAGGTATGAAGTAAGATCAGACTTTGTCAATTAAGATATTATATATGTCAAATAAGACCTGATGTAAGTAAAATATAGGACCACTCATGTAAATTAAGATACACATATGTCAATTAAGACCATGCATGTGTAAATTAATTGACCATGTGTGTCAAGGTCTGTCATGTGAATTACGACCATACACATGTAAATTAAGACCTTATGAAAATTAATACAACACATATGTAAATTGTTATGACACATATATTAATTAAGACCACATGTGTATATAAAATGTATATAGATTAAGACTACAATCAGGTAAATCAATTAATTATTTATATATAAGACCTTATAGGCATGTAACAAAAAATGAAGAATTATGACATCGTATAAATCTGTGCAAGTTAGGACTACACATGTGTCACTCTGCTACTATAAATTAGAGGCACACTTACATGTACACTTGTATTGTTGAGACTTGGTGCTAATACAACAAGATCTGTTGCGGAACAGTTTGCCTGGCAAATGTTTCAAAATCTTTTTGTCAGACTCTTGGAAGAAACATTTAAACCATGCAGGAACCTTGATTGCAAATATCAGTACTGAAGTATAATTAGTAACTGAATGCTGATTTATCTTTCAATATGCTCTCCAAAATCTAAACATTTTATTAGACATAAAAAAATCTAAGTCGAAAACATGTCAAAAGCCTTTTGTTTTATTCTTTCTCACAAGAATCCTTTAATCCAGCTTTAGGACAGCATAGTTAAATTCCATATCCTAGACAATTAGAAAGTGATCTTCTGATGTCTTTCTAAACAAAATCTTAACATTTAAAAACCATTAATAATGCTGGGGAGACAACACTAGCTTCCCCCATCTTTGGAGAGACAGGCTAAAAATCTTGTAATACACAAAGAATTAATACTTACTAGGTACTGAGAATTGTATTATATGTGTTTCTGTCTTTGTCACTGGTGCTTCTACCAGATATTACGTGTGTGCCTGTTTTTGTTTTTGTTTTGTTTTTTTACCATTGTGCAGAAATCAAATGATGTGTATGTACCCATTACACAGGGTGCTAAGGAAAAGTGTGTCATTAATTCTATTGTAGTTCATTCTGAGGAAACCAAAACCTTTACTAGATTAAAATTTTACACCCTGAAGTAATCTTTTTTAGGCAGAAGACAAACTAACCTATCAGTACTTGACAGTGTTGTCAAGTTTGATCTTTGCCAATCAAAATGACCATCCTTTAGCACTGATGTATTTTAGCTTGTGTTGCCTGGTAAGTAATGGAGAAGGCAATTTGTGAGGCAGTGTGGTGGATTGAGCAGCTTATATCTTTCACATAATTACAGATGTCTAGTGTTCCTTCTGTTTAACCTACAAAAGAGTTCCACTAGAAGTTAGGTGTCAATTTATCATGTACTCTACTTTTTTACACTGGTCCTTGCAGTGTAATTTCCTTCTAGTACCGCACATCATAAGTAATTCATGAATGTTCATTTCATTTGTGATATATTTGACACATAGAAGTCCGCACCAAAATAGGCATTATTGATTGGGGGTCCTGTACCATGACATCAACGCTGGTCCTGCTCGGGGTTGATTAGGGAGCTTTGGATCTTCTTTAGTAACACCACTCACCAATGTCAGGCTTTCAAAAACACACAATGTTTATCTGCCATATATAGCACTTCTCACACTAATATAGCTGTGTCTCTATTTGTAGATCTCACAGCACACAAGATACTTAACTGGCTATATTTAGTGTCATTCTGTCAGCTCCAGATAATCAAAACGCACCAAGGTGTAGGTTTCAGACTGTCACTGAGTCATGGATGAATTTAGAATGCTGATGTATTGAAGTGACCATGTGAATGTGATGTGAATTTTTAATATTTGGAAGGGCAAGTGGACATATATATATAAAGTTACAAGGTATCAATCGTTTAAACCTGCTTGTTATCTTTAACTTATTTGCTTTGAACCATTTATCCTGAAATTCTGGTTAAGTCATTGCAGCAATATTTAGCATGAATGACTGGACAGAAAAATGTGAAATGGAGAAAATGCATTTTTTACTGCTTTTTCAATTGAATGAAAATGAGTACAAATAGTCATCCCTTAATCATGGAGTAATGACCTCAGAAACACTTTAAAATCAAAGATACTTTCAGACTCCAGAATGATTTCAGCTTCTAGTTTTCAAACAACAAGTGACTTATACAGGTTCATGGGGCCTCTTGTTACATCATCTGAATGTGATTTAAAAAGTATATGAATGAGATTGATTTTACAAATGGCATTGTAACTATTTCTATGCTATGGCTGTTGTTACAGCAAGGAAAGGGTGGAGACTACAGGATTCTGTAGTATTGATAAATACTAAACTGTTGATGCCTAAACAGAGTCACTGACCCGTCTTGTTACATTTCATTCCTTATAAAGCTGTGAGGTAAATACTGTTTTCTGTCAGCAAAGTGTTACCATTACTCTATATCATCCCTTGTAGAATGTACCCTTTTCTTATAAACACCCATATTGACTCTACCATCTCTTGTGTATTTCTCTTTACCATACAAAGTAATGTATGACCACTCTGCCTGTGCTTTTCGTATTTTAGGGTGTCTTCATTTATGTCTAGAAACTCATTACTCTCAAGCAAAAAATGTTTTGGAGCAACTGATATTTTCAAAGTTCCTGTTTCAGAATGATCATGAAAATCAATCACTGCAGACGTGTCATCTTCATAACACAATAATTAAAGACTTAAGATTTACAGAAATTAATAGCGGTGAAAATAAATTGGTTTTACAGTAAAACTGCATTCTATGCAGAATCTCATAAGTCTGCGGACTAGAGAGATATTTCATCAGGATTTCTCTTCTGTGATTACCCTATATCTGTTTATGCAAAACCATTGTAGTAGTCATATGTGTGATATAAAAACTTTATCTCGTATATTTTTAGGTCATCTGACCAAAGGGTCTGATGACCTATTGTGATCGCCTTTTGTCCGTCGTCGTACGTCGTAACCATTTTCAACTTCTTCTCAAGTTCTACATGTCTCATTGAGCTGAAACTTACCTGAAATGATCATGACATGATCCTGACCAAAGTTTGTTAATTTGGGTCGGTCCGAAATTCAACATGGCCACCATCTTGAAAACACATTTTCGACTTCTTCTCAAGTTCAAAATTTGAAATCTTGCATTTTATGTCAGATGACCATTAAGGCCCATGGGCCTCTTGTCTAATTTACTGATGGTACTGTGATGTTTGTAATTAATGGTAGTAATACTATATTTTTTTTTTGCTGTTTAATCATTCATACATATTATCATTTCATATCTGATTTTAGGAAGTGACATCATTGAATGGCTGAGGAGACGATTCCCTGAGTCTGAGACAGAGGAGATGGTTCCTAAAGAGGCATTGCACCTAGCAAACCTTCTGTGTCAGTACGGCTATATCTACCCTGTTGATCTGAAAACATTCTCCATCAAGGATGACAGATCCACTGAGTACAGGTTCCAGGTAGGTTTGTTTGGCATCAGACATCTTACACCTTGTACTGTAACCATGGAAATTTACACCTATGGGAAATATACATTGGATAATGCTGATGTGTAAATTTCCCTCACATGTACATCCCTTGTTTAACCCCTGTAGAAATAAGGATGCATATGGTTACACATATGTAAATTAATATATCTATGATCTTCATTTTATTTGAGATTTTATGAAATGTGTCTTTGAATTTTCATTTTTTCAAGCCTTGACAAGCAAAAGTTTAAATTTTGAGACAAGATTCTCAAAATCTCGTATGAAAGAAAACAAATTTAAGATACCTTTTATCACCTAACTTAGAAAAGTGACCTTTTGACAGGTTTTAAGTAAAAATGCAGCCAGTTTTTGTGCTATTTTCAATTCATGACATGAAAATACATGTGTAAGATACTAGTGTAATGCTTTTCAATGTTAATCACACTTAGGTAGACTAATATGCTGGTGTAGTATTGACTTTCACTGACATTCTTATGAAAACACTGAATTCCTAAATAGATTCGGACCAGAGGCTGACTGGGGTTATTGACTTAATTGGCTACTTGTAATATGAAACAGGAAGTTATTGACCTGAATAATACAGTGCTACCATTAATGGTATTTTACTGGCTCACAACCTTACAGGCCTTTAAACTTTTAAAATGTATCCTAATAACATAGACAAAACATGGTTATTTCAAAATGCTCATATTATCATTTTTTGTACAACAGTTTATTTGATTTGTCAATTTCAACCCTTCAGCAGCTTAAAAACCTAGCATTAAATATCAGGTACTTTCAATACACTTTTTCTTTCATCATAATGAATCTTTTGTTATATTATAGATAGTTGATGTGTATGTATGGTAATATGTATTGTTGTCCCGTTTTTGGAACATCTATATTTGTATTGAGTTTATTTACTTAATCCTCATGTACATATATATCTGAACATTGATTATACTTTGGTTTCTAAAATATTTACATTAAAGTTTGACTGTTTCATAAACCATAATGTAATCATGTCATCATGCTGTATTATCAGATAAAACAGATCGGAATGCAATTGTGAAAACTTCCATTTCGTAAAGACAGAATAGTCACTCGGAATGGAATTGTGAAAACTCCCATTTTGTAAAGACAGAATAGTCACTCGGAATGGAATTGTGAAAACTCCCATTTCATAAAAACAGAATAGTCACTCGGAATGGAATTGTGAAAACTCCCATTTCGTAAAGACAGAATAGTCACTCCAGCATGTGTCCGTCCGTTAGATTTTGATGATCGTCAGTTGAGGTTAATTGTCAAAGGTCATACAGATATATTTTACTACTATTGTAATAAAAAGCTTGTATAGACAATATCACATTAAATCTGGTTTGGTATACCACAGCAGGAATGTATTGTATTCTATAGGACCAGACATATAACTGTGATGTTCTAAAATAAAACATCCTGTAATTTATTCATAGGTATCTGCAATTAAAAAAATGTAACCAAATATAGTCATACAAATTGTATAATACAATGTAACACATGTGTGTAAGCATAAAAACATACCTATATACCATATGTGTCTCATTTCAATGAGAGAAGATGGAAAAAAATTCTATACATGTTGTAGAGACTTAAGCACTAATATAAAAATAAATGAGCAATATCTAGGTTTAATTTAGAAATAATTAGGGATATCTAGGTCAATGTCTGATTTAGAAATAAAATATTGAATTTCTAAGTAATCTTTATGCTGAATTCCTGAACTGATAAATAGATTCCAAAGAAATATCTTATGCTTTCTCATACTGATTTGACTACTATGAATAAGAATTTGAAAAGTACCTACTAGGTTAATTCAACTCATGTAGAACTGTCTGTGGAAAATGAGTATATTGAGGAAGGAACATGGTTTGCAGTAATTGGTGGCCTTCTAATTGCACTGTAATTACTGTGGGCTGGCACAGCTCTGTGTATCAGCCACAGCTGTGTCATCTGTGTTTGTCTTTCACACAATGGATGATCAGCTGTTATTGATACTAACATAGGGCATCACACATTTTACATACAAACACACTTTTATTTAGCATTTTATGTTCAATAGATTAATCAATAATGACTAGTCTGAGACAATTTGGTGTTGTGACCATACAACCATTGTCCACAGCCACACAATGTATTTATTTAAACAGGAGAACTGAAATCTAATGATTTTCTAGGTAAATTCTTACAGCAAAGTTAGACAGAAGCTACTGTAGTGACATTGATGATCACCAGTCCCTCTCAGTCTCTGTCTGTTGATAATGCACAAGATTCACAAACACTTCATCCATTTCTTTACCATTTGTGTATAAAATGTGGTACTGCTATAGACCTTGATATAAAAAAAAATTCTAGGGACAGTTTGACTATCAAAACCTTGTTCATTTTAACACTTCTCCTAGCTGTTAAAGATATTTTATAAAACAGATATCATCTCCCTGCTGTGGTCCTTTACACCTTGTAAAAGGAGCCTTATCATCTGATATGTAATCTTAGTATTTCAGAAAATATCATATATGTGGTGTTTAATATTACAATAACATATGAAGCTTCACTCTGTAGGTTTATAAAACCTTTCTTTAAAACTTTGTTAGAACACTACAAATCCTTTAAGTATGATTGGGTTCCCAATGGCAGTCGGTCATTGGCTTGGTGTAGCAATAATCATGTCATGTTTGTAGACAAATCAAGCTATCTAACGTGGTCACATGCATTCTCTTAAAACTAATTGGCTATATGTTTCCGGACAATTATAGTTCTAATCCGAAGGTCTGTGTCATAAAATGTTTCCGGGAAATACTAGAGTAGTCACATTGTTCAATAGTGGATATAAGTGATAAGTAATTGTTTAATACAAAATTTTATGAAAAAAAATATTTCACAGGTTTTACAGTCATGTTATGTGATTTTGCTGGTCACTAATACTCTTGTTTTTACTTGTGTATTATTCTGTATCAAGACGTCAGAATCAGCAATGAACATAAAACTTTTGACATACAAGTGTTTGTCTTTTGACATGCAAGTGTTTGTCTTTTGACATACAAGCGTTTGTCTTTTGACATACAAGTGTTTGTCTTTTGACATGCAAGCATTTGTCTTTTGACATGCAAGCGTTTGTCTTTTGACATGCAAGCGTTTGTCTTTTGACATGCAAGCGTTTGCCTTTTGACATGCAAGCGTTTGCCTTTTGACATGCAAGCGTTTGCCTTTTGACATGCAAGCGTTTGCCTTTTGACATTCAAGCGTTTGTCTTTTGACATGCAAGCGTTTGTCTTTTGACATGCAAGCGTTTGTCTTTTGACATGCAAGCGTTTGTCTTTTCGAAAATTATTGTAAAGATTACTTTAAATTTGGGGAAAAAAGAAAATATTTTACTTTTTGTAATTTCAGACTCCATTCTACTGGCCATTTTGCAAGGAAAAAACTGCAAACAGTATGGAATATGGTGAGGAACTTCATTTCTTATATGTGTATTTTTAGCTACAAATTTTTTCAAGATAAATGTCTTTTGTTACTGTTGTTACATCTTGTTTTGGAGAAGTAAAACTCATTGTTTTCTTCTATATCGGTATGAAACAATTAAATTACAACTACATGTATGTATTGATAATCGAGAAAAAGAAACGGTTCAAATCATAACTAAATTTAAAGTATTGTTGTTAAATGTATTTTCAAATCATGCTGCTTGTCTTTTTAAACAAATTTCAAGGTAATTTTTTATGGCAATTTGCTTTCAAATCTTTAAAATATTTCAGCAATTTATTTACAAAAGAGGAGTATGCGAAACAAGAACAAGCATGAGTTGGAGCCACATGAAAAAGTAAGGTGTTTTATTCTCAGTTAATGACCTTGACCCACTTTCAAAGTCACTTGCACCAAATGTATTAAAATCTCTTTGGAATCTTGGCGTCATTTTGCGGACATTGCCGACAAGTAATTCAGGGATCTATGTGTGAAATGTTAATAGACAATGGTTTGAAAGGTCATCTATCTTTCCTGATTTCTGTTTACAAATATTGTATCTAATACTGATCTTCTTCACTGATATTGATGAAACATTACATACACAGCCATTACCATGTATAATTATGTGATAGGGATATCTTTGTAAAGGCAACTACAGAAATTTCATGCCCTTTTTCTGAAAGTTGTTATTGGGGTATGGAGTTATTACTTGGCCTAGATACCCAATGTATAAATCATTGTTTTACAACAGCTTCTTGACAGTTATATTTCCTGAAATAGACTACACTACATGTATTTTAGAGGGAAGTGCCATATTGACTAGACTATACTACATGTATTTTAGAGGGAAGTGCCATATTGACTAGACTACACTACATGTATTTTAGAGGGAAGTGCCATATTGACTAGACTACACTACATGTATTTTAGAGGGAAGTGCCATATTGACTAGACTACACTACATGTATTTTAGAGGGAAGTGCCATATTGACTAGACTACACTACATGTATTTTAGAGGGAAGTGCCATATTGACTAGACTACACTACATGTATTTTAGAGGGAAGTGCCATATTGACTAGACTACACTACATGTATTTTAGAGGGAAGTGCCATATTGACTAGACTACACTACATGTATTTTAGAGGGAAGTGCCATATTGACTAGACTACACTACATGTATTTTAGAGGGAAGTGCCATATTGACTAGACTACACTACATGTATTTTAGAGGGAAGTGCCATAATTGACTACCTTAACCTTTGACTATTGTAATGAGTTCAGCTGTATATTGTCTTTGTAAACAAATGTATTGTCACAATATAATGCAGTGTTGTGAATTTCCATTGAGTATGACTACTTTTTATTGTAACATGGGAAATTATCTGGGTTAAAAGATATTTGGAGTATTTCATATGAACACAAGGAAGAATCATTTGTATGTATCTATTTCTTGTAGGAAGCATATGAGAAGTTGTTGAAATTTTACTGTGATAAGAAGGATTTTATCAAATCTCAAGCTGAAGAGCAAGTTAAGTAAGTATTATGTGATTCAAGATATTCAAATTTGAATGCTTCTAGAACAGTATTATCACTCTCTTGAATCTATGTATCAATGACTGAGTTTTAAAAATGGCACACATAATGATTTAGGGTCAGATTTGTTAATCACATACAAATGATGGTTGGTCACATTCAAGAATTTTTGTATTAGAGGAATTTTTCATTTTCAGATAAGATTGCTGAAATATATAGAATAAGTGTTTAAAAAGGCTTATTGTTTGTGTTCTAGTCCATAATATCTCATTTTATTCTTCCATTTCATTGAATTAATCAAGTAAGGAAATGCTTTGCTCTAAAATGATTTTAAATGTTTTGAAAGCATTTATAGAAACATATAATGATATTCTTCACCATTGAATGGTAATCAGATTGTGTTTATTGTCAATATGAATGCAATTTAGGAGTTGTCCACATTGCAATGAATATCATCAGACATCAACTGTAAAATCACTCATTTTTGTAGGGGGTGTATTTCCATTAAATTTGTGATTACTTTTAATCCATGAATTTGTGACAACTTTTAATGCATGGATTTGTGATTTCTCTTAATCCATGAATTTGTGATTATTCTTAATCCATTAATTTGTGATTACTCTTAATCCATGGATTTGTGATTACTCTTAATCCATTAATTTGTGATTAATCTTAATCCATGAATTTGTGATGACTCTTAATCCATTAATTTATTTACTATGAAATAATATCTAGATGAAAATGCCATGAACAATGTAAAGAAGGTTTAGGGAGCAATATATACCCAGGAAATTAGGTGCCAACGAAAATATCTATTATTTTAATACCATGAAACTTTACCACCACAAAAATATAGGATTTTACAGTAATTCACAGTAAAGGTATAAAATGTGTTATTTATGGTGATGTGGACGCAACCTAAGTCTGTGTGGTGCCAAAGTGATGTCATACTAATGTTAATATATATCTATGACAGGGAGCTGAAAAAGAAACAGCGACAAGACAAGACACTAGGGGACCAACAGGAAAGAGTATTCTGGAGGATACATCGGCCTCCGGTAATTAAATTATCTCATTACATGAAAACACTTCTTTTCATGAATATTAATGTCTTTTTAAATGATCAGGTGATTAACACAAGCTACATAGACTTGATGTGGTTAGAGTAAGACACTCATAAACTACACCCAAAATTACTGTAGAAAAAAACTTGTCAGCCAAGTGTTTGTATTAGTGGACCGATTAAAACATGTGATCATATCAAGTAATCACTGGGAAGAATAGGACAATGTGGATTCGGAAGTTTGTTAGTGGTAAGGTCACAAATGAAATAAGCTACTTTATCTAATTTTTCTCCGGCAGTTGACTTTAGTCTATCTGATAGTTTATAGTAGGTAAATGTTACTTTGACATTCCTTAATACAGAAAGAATCATCTTCTTGACTTTATATTCCTATTTAGATAAAGACAGCTTGTGGTGTTGTACAAACAACCTGATGGTTTGCAGTGATTTTTTTTAAATGGTGAAATTTTTTGTTTGGCGTGGGAGGTGGGTTGGGGTAGGGAGTAACCCTCTCGAAGGCATGAGTCAAATGAGAAGTGCCTTGTTTAAAGATTTTACAATATAAATGTACCAGCATGTTGTTTTCTTTTACTGGAGTATTTGATTTCAATGCTATATTCCGTCTTGGCTTGTACATGATGTGGGTATTGATTCTATGTAATTGTCAGTCTTTTGAGAAATGAACACCGTTATTCTGTGTGTAGAACAGTAATGCTATTGATATGTACATAAAGTCACGGTCACAACTAGTTTACTTTAGCAGACATATGTATTTCTATAAATTCTGGTTTTGCTGTGAGAGATTGACAGGAGTATCTGATTTGGTCAAACAATGTGTGCTTGTTCACTGGCAGAAAGATACATCAATAATTATATATATATATATATATCTGTCTTGCCTGATACTAAATCAAAGTCTGGACTTCAGTGTCAATTTCTCTAATTGTGCGGAAGGTTTGTGGGTCATAAACATATTGGATCCTACAATAATGTCTTGGGTCTGGGCTACACTTATTTTGACTATTAAAACATCTGATAGTTTTTTTTATCATTCCTCAGGTCCTTATCCTGGCAAACACAAATACTGGATCACCCCTGTCACTTAAATCCTTGGTCACAAAGACAATTCATCAACCCTGTGTAGTTAAATCCTGAGTTATTAAGACACAGGGACTAACTATGTTGTCCTAATCACACAGATGTTAGAGCTAGCCCTGTTGCCTTAATTCAGTCATACAGAACTGGGTCAACCTTATTGTCTGAATCCAGAATATACAGACACTCTGATCAACCCTGTTGTTCTAATCCATGGTCACACAGACACTGGATTAACCCTGTTGTTCTTATCCAAGGTCATATAAACACTGGATCAACCCTGTTCTTCTTATCCAAGGTCATATAAACACTGGATCAACCCTGTTGTTCTAATCCAAGGTCACACAGACACTGGATCAACCCTGTTGTTCTTATCCAAGGTCATATAAACACTGGATCAACCCTGTTGTTCTAATCCAAGGTCACACAGACACTGGATCAACCCTGTTATTCTTATCCAAGGTCATATAAACACTGGATCAACCCTGTTCTTCTAATCCAAGGTCACACAGACACTCTGATCAACCCTGTTGTTCTTATCCAAGGTCATATAAACACTGGATCAACCCTGTTGTTCTAATCCAAGGTCACAAAGACACTGGATCAACCCTGTTCTTCTAATCCAAGGTCACACAGACACTCTGATCAACCCTGTTGTTCTTATCCAAGGTCATATAAACACTGGATCAACCCTGTTGTTCTAATCCAAGGTCACAAAGACACTGGATCAACCCTGTTGTTCTAATCCTAGGTCACACAGACACTCAGATCTACTCTGCTGTTCTAATCCAAGGTCACACAGACACTCTGATAAACCCTTTTGTTCTAATCCAAGGTCACAAAGACACTGGATCAACACTGTTGTTCTAATCCAAGGTCACAAAGACACTGGATCAACCCTGTTGTTCTAATCCAAGGTCACACAGACACTTTGATCAACCCTGTTGTTCTAATCCAAGGTCATACAGACACTGGATCAACACTGTTGTTCTAATCCAAGGTCACACAGACACTCTGATCAACCCTGTTGTTCTAATCCAAGGTCACACAGACACTCTGATCAACCCTGTTGTTCTAATCCAAGGTCACACAGACACTGGATCAACACTGTTGTTCTAATCCAAGGTCACAAAGACACTGGATCAACCCTGTTGTTCTAATCCAAGGTCACACAGACACTTTGATCAACCCTGTTGTTCTAATCCAAGGTCACAAAGACACTGGATCAACCCTGTTGTTCTAATCCAAGGTCACACAGACATTCTGATCAACCCTGTTGTTCTAATCCAAGGTCACACAGACATTGGATCAACCCTGTTGTTCTAATCCAAGGTCACAAAGACACTGGATCATTCCTGTTGTTCTAATCCAAGGTCACACAGACACTGTAATCAACCCTGTTGTTTTAATCCAAGGTCACACAGACACTGGATCAACACTGTTGTTCTAATCCAAGGTCACAAAGACACTGGATCAACCCTGTTGTTCTAATCCAAGGTCACACAGACACTTTGATCAACCCTGTTGTTCTAATCCAAGGTCACAAAGACACTGGATCAACCCTGTTGTTCTAATCCAAGGTCACACAGACATTCTGATCAACCCTGTTGTTCTAATCCAAGGTCACACAGACATTGGATCAACCCTGTTGTTCTAATCCAAGGTCACAAAGACACTGGATCATTCCTGTTGTTCTAATCCAAGGTCACACAGACACTGTAATCAACCCTGTTGTTTTAATCCAAGGTCACACAGACACTGGATCAACACTGTTGTTCTAATCCAAGGTCACACAGACACTCAGATCTACTCTGCTGTTCTAATCCAAGGTCATATAAACATTGGATCAACCCTGTTGTTCTAATCCAAGGTCACACAGACACTCTGATCAACCCTGTTGTTCTAATCCAAGGTCACACAGACACTCTGATCAACCCTGTTGTTCTAATCCAAGGTCACACAGACACTCAGATCTACTCTGCTGTTCTAATCCAAGGTCATATAAACATTGGATCAACCCTGTTGTTCTAATCCAAGGTCACACAGACACTCTGATCAACCCTGTTGTTCTAATCCAAGGTCACACAGACACTCAGATCTACTCTGCTGTTCTAATCCAAGGTCATATAAACATTGGATCAACCCTGTTGTTCTAATCCAAGGTCACACAGACACTCTGATCAACCCTGTTGTTCTAATCCAAGGTCACACAGACACTCTGATCAACCCTGTTGTTCTAATCCAAGGTCACACAGACACTCTGATCAACCCTGTTGTTCTAATCCAAGGTCACACAGACACTCTGATCAACCCTGTTGTTCCAATCCAAGGTCACACAGACACTCAGATCTACTCTGCTGTTCTAATCCAAGGTCATATAAACATTGGATCAACCCTTTTGTTCTAATCCAAGGTCACACAGACACATTGATCAACCCTTTTGTTCTAATCCAAGGTCACAAAGACATTGGATCAACTCTGTTGTTCTAATCTTAGCCCTGTTGTCCTAATCCTGAATCATATATAGCCTTGAATCAACTCTACTTAAAGCCTGATTCTGGGTCCCACAAACACTGAAACAAACAATGAGTCCTAATCCTTGGTCACAAAAATAATTGGACCAGTTCCTAATACTGGGTCTTGCAAGCACTGGAACCAACACTGTTAATCCTAGGTCAAAACACTGGAATAAACCCAGTTTAAGAACTTACCAAATTAACTAAAACATCATTTTGGAGTAAGGATATGATCTTTCAACATGTAAAAAACACAGACATGACTATGCATCTAAACCAGCACATAAAGAGAATCACAGCAGACCTTTGTAATAGCACATAGAAATAATCACAGCACACCTCTACACCAGTGCATACAGATTATCACAGTACACCTCTACACCAGTGCATACAGATTATCACAGCACACCTCTACACCAGTGCATACAGATTATCACAGTCCACCTCTACACCTGTACATACATAGAATCACAGCACACCTCTACACCTGTACATACATAGAATCACAGCACACCTCTACACCTGTACATACATAGAATCACAGCACACCTCTACACCAGTGCATACAGATTATCACAGTCCACCTCTACACCTGTACATACATAGAATCACAGCACACCTCTAAACCTGTACATACAGATTATCACAGTACACCTCTACACCTGTACAAACAGATTACCACAGCACTCCTCTACACCTGTACATACAGATTATCATAGCACTCCTCTACACCTGTACATACAGAGGATCACAACACACCTCTACACCTGTACATACAGATTATCGCAGTACACCTCTACACCAGTGCATACAGATTATCACAGTACACCTCTACACCAGTGCATACAGATTATCGCAGTACACCTCTACACCTGTTCATACATAGAATCACAGCCAACTCTACACCAGTGCATACAGATTATCACAGCACACCTCTACACCTGTACATACATAGAATCACAAGACTTCTCCCTGTACATACATAGAATCACAGCACTCCTCTACACATGTATATACATAGGATCACAACACACCTCTACACCTGTACATACATAGGATCACAACACACCTCTACATCTGTACATACAGATTATTAAAGTACACCTCTACATCTGTACATACAGATTATCACAGCACACCTCTACACCTGTACATACATAGGATCACAGCATAGCTCTACACCTGTACAAACAGATTACCACAGCACACCTCTACACCTGTACATACAGATTATCACAGCACTCCTCTACACCTGTACATACAGATTATCACAGCACACCTCTACACCTGTACATACTTAGAATCACAGCCCACCTCTACAGCTGTACATACTTAGGATCACAGCACACCTCTACACCTGTACATATGTAGAATCACAGCCCACCTCTACACCTGTACACACATAGAATCACAGCCCACCTCTACTCCTGTACATACATAGAATCACAGCACACCTCTACACCAGTGCATACAGATTATCACAGTACACCTCTACACCAGTGCATACAGATTATCACAGCACACCTCTACACCTGTTCATACATAGAATCACAGCACACCTCTACACCTGTACATACAGATTATCACAGCACTCCTCTACACCTGTACATACAGATTATCACAGCACTCCTCTACACCTGTACATACATAGGATCACAACACACCTCTACATCTGTACATACAGATTATTAAAGCACACCTCTACACCTGTACATACAGATTATCAAAGCACACCTCTACACCTGTACATACAGATTATCACAGCACTCCTCTACACCTGTACATACAGATTATCACAGCACTCCTCTACACCTGTACATACATAGGATCACAACACACCTCTACATCTGTACATACAGATTATTAAAGCACACCTCTACACCTGTACATACAGATTATCACAGTACACCTCTACACCTGTACATACAGATTATCACAGCACTCCTCTACACCTGTACATACATAGGATCACAACACACCTCTACACCTGTACATACAGATTATCGCAGTACACCTCTACACCAGTGCATACAGATTATCACAGCACTCCTCTACACCTGTACATGCATAGGATCACAACACACCTCTACACCTGTACATACAGATTATCACAGCACTCCTCTACACCTGTACATACAGATTATCACAGCACTCCTCTACACCTGTACATACATAGGATCACAACACACCTCTACACCTGTACATACAGATTATCGCAGTACACCTCTACACCAGTGCATACAGATTATCACAGTACACCTCTACACCAGTGCATACAGATTATCGCAGTACACCTCTACACCTGTTCATACATAGAATCACAGCCAACTCTACACCAGTGCATACAGATTATCACAGCACACCTCTACACCTGTACATACATAGAATCACAGCACTCCTCTACACATGTATATACATAGAATCAAAGCACACCTTTACACCTGTACATACATAGAATCAAAGCACACTTCTACACCTGTACATACAGATTATCACAGCACACCTCTACACCTGTACATACATAGGATCACAACACACCTCTACACCTGTACATACATAGGATCACAACACACCTCTACATCTGTACATACAGATTATTAAAGCACACCTCTACACCTGTACATACAGATTATCACAGCACACCTCTACACCTGTACATACATAGGATCACAACACACCTCTACACCTGTACATACAGATTATCGCAGTACACCTCTACACCAGTGCATACAGATTATCACAGTACACCTCTACACCAGTGCATACAGATTATCGCAGTACACCTCTACACCTGTTCATACATAGAATCACAGCCAACTCTACACCAGTGCATACAGATTATCACAGCACACCTCTACACCTGTACATACATAGAATCACAAGACTTCTCCCTGTACATACATAGAATCACAGCACTCCTCTACACATGTATATACATAGGATCACAACACACCTCTACACCTGTACATACATAGGATCACAACACACCTCTACATCTGTACATACAGATTATTAAAGCACACCTCTACATCTGTACATACAGATTATCACAGCACACCTCTACACCTGTACATACAGATTATCACAGCACACCTCTACACCTGTACATACTTAGAATCACAGCCCACCTCTACAGCTGTACATACTTAGGATCACAGCACACCTCTACACCTGTACATATGTAGAATCACAGCCCACCTCTACACCTGTACACACATAGAATCACAGCCCACCTCTACTCCTGTACATACATAGAATCACAGCACACCTCTACACCTCTACAGATTATCCAGTGTACATACAGCACACCTCTACACCTGATTATCACAGTGCATACACACTCTACACCAGTCTACACCTGTACATACAGATTATCACAGCACACCTCTACACCTGTACATACAGATTATCACATACAGACAGATTATCACAGCACACCTCTACACCTGTACATACATAGATTACACAGATTATCACACCTCTACACCTGTACATACAGATTATCACAGCACACCTCTACACCTGTACATACAGATTATCACAGCCCCTCTACACCTGTACATACATAGGACACACCTACACAGATTAACACACCTCTACACCTGTACATACAGATTATCACAGCACACCTCTACACCTGTACATACAGATTATCACAGCACTCCTCTACACCTGTACATACAGATTATCACAGCACACCTCTACACCTGTACATACAGATTATCACAGCCCACCTCTACACCAGTACATACAGATTATCACAGCACTCCTCTACACCTGTACATACAGATTATCACAGCACTCCTCTACACCTGTACATACATACCTGTACATACAGATTATCGCAGTACACATCTACACCTGTACATACAGATTATCACAGTACATACACCACAGTGCATACAGATTATCGCAGCACCTCTACACCTGTACATACAGATTATCACAGCACACCTCTACACCTGTACATACATAGGATCACAACACACCTCTACACCTGTACATACAGATTATCACAGCACACCTCTACACCTGTACATACAGATTATCACAGCACACCTCTACACCTGTACATACATAGGATCACAACACACCTCTACACCTGTACATACAGATTATCACAGCACACCTCTACACCTGTACATACAGATTATCGCAGCACTCCTCTACACCTGTACATACAGATTATCACAGCACACCTCTACACCACACCTGTACATACAGATTATCTGTACAGCACACCTCTACACCTGTACATACAGATTATCACAGCACACCTCTACACCTGTACATACAGACCTCTACACCTGTATCACAGCACACACACTGTACATACAGATTATCACAGCACACCTCTACACCTGTACATACAGATTATCACAGGACACCTCTACACCTGTACATACAGATTATCACAGCACACCTCTACACCTGTACATACATAGATTATCACAGCACACCTCTACACCTGTACATACAGATTATCACAGCACACACTCATACATAGGATCACAACACACCTCTACACCTACAGTACATACACCTGTACATACAGATTATCAACACACCTCTACACCTGTACATACAGATTATCACACACAGATCTACACCTGTACATACACAGAATCACAAGATTACAACACACCTCACAGCACCTGTACATACAGATTATCAAAGCACACCTCTACACCTGTACATACAGATTATCACAGCACTCCTCTACACCTGTACATACAGATTATCACAGCACACCTCTACACCTGTACATACAGATTATCACAGCACACCTCTACACCTGTACATACAGATTATCACAGCACACCTCTACACCTGTACATACATAGTATCACATCACACCTCTACACCTGTACATACATATTATCACAGCACACCTCTACACCTGTACATACAGATTATCACAGCACACCTCTACACCAGTGCATACAGATTATCACAGCACACCTCTACACCTGTACATACAGATTATCACAGCACACCTCTACACCTGTACATACAGATTATCACAGCACTCCTCTACACCTGTACATACAGATTATCACAGCCCACCTCTACACCTGTACATATATAGAATCACAGCACACCTCTACACCTGTACATACAGATTATCACAGCACACGTCTACACCTGTACATACAGATTATCACAGCACTCCTCTACACCTGTACATACAGATTATCACAGCACTCCTCTACACCTGTACATACATATTATCACAGCACACCTCTACACCTGTACATACAGATTATCACAGTACACCTCTACACCTGTACATACAGATTATCGCAGTACACATCTACACCTGTACATACAGATTATCACAGCCCACCTCTACACCTGTAGTACATACAGATTATCACAGCACTCCTCTACACCTGTACATACAGATTATCACAGCACTCCTCTACACCTGTACATACAGATTATCACAGCACACCTCTACACCTGTACATACAGATTATCACAGCACACCTGTACATACAGATTATCAAAGCACACCTCTACACCTGTACATACAGATTATCACAGCACTCCTCTACACCTGTACATACAGATTATCACAGCACACCTCTACACCTGTCACAACACACCTCTACACATGTACATACATAGATCAAACACACCTCTACACCTGTACATACAGATTATCACAGTGTACAGATTATCACAGCACACCTCTACACCTGTACATACAGATCACAGCACACCTCTTCACATAGGATCACAACACACCTCTACACCTGTACATCTGCTTCTTACATACAGATTAACAAAAGATTGACACCTGTACATGATATTGGTTCTTTAATAAAAGTGGATGAAGGGCTACAGATTTGTACAAATAATTGATCTTGACCTATATTCAAGATCTCTCTGGTTAAGTGAGTTGAGATCTTAAAATTTCTTTTTCAACAAGCAATAGGTGAGGGAAAGGCATTTGTGTAGTTGTCAAGCTATTTATTTTAAGACTGTTTGGCCTCTTTCATATATAGGTCCTTATAGTCAGATGACTGTTAAGGCCCTTGGGCCTCTTGTTTTTTATCAAAATTAAAAGCCTAAGAAAGTAGATTCATAACAGTGAATTTAAGCAAGACAATTGAAAAAATGGAAAAACATGATAATACATAAAATATGTATTAAATGTAGTTGTGTCAAAAGATGTTTATCGAAGCTTACACTTGAGTGCAGATTCTATCAAGTAGCATCAACTATTTGTGGTATAATAAGTGTTGTTTTTGTGTTTGTCTATATGATAAAAGCACAGCCTATTGTTCCATAATGCTTGTGTTACTGACAGTCTTAATTCTGTTACAGAAATCCCAGGTGAATTGCCTGGAAGAGGGACCAAAGAGGAATATACATCCAACCCAGATGATGGCTCGGAAAAAGAAGAATAAAGACTGGTACAGACAGGAGGTGAGAAAAAATTCTATGTAAATCAGAAGAATTTCATTTGTACAGGAAGTCTGATTGCTCATTATACATCAATCCATACAATAGAAATAAGACTTTGTTGTATACAGAAGCTTTGTGAGTTTTCTGTTGTATACAGAAGCTTTGTGAGTTTTCTGTTGTATACAGAAGCTTTGTGAGTTTTCTGTTGTATACAGAAGCTTTGTGAGTTTTCTGTTGTATACAGAAGCTTTGTGAGTTTTCTGTTGTATACAGAAGCTTTGTGAGTTTTCTGTTGTATACAGAAGCTTTGTGAGTTTTCTGTTGTATACAGAAGCTTTGTGAGTTTTCTGTTGTATACAGAAGCTTTGTGAGTTTTCTGTTGTATACAGAAGCTTTGTGAGTTTTCTGTTGTATACAGAAGCTTTGTGAGTTTTCTGTTGTATACAGAAGCATTGTGAGTTTTCTGTTGTATACAGAAGCATTGTGAGTTGTTTTCTGTTGTATACAGAAGCTTTGTGAGTTGTTTTCTGTTGTATACAGAAGCTTTGTGAGTTTTCTGTTGTATACAGAAGCTTTGTGAGTTTTCTGTTGTATACAGAAGCTTTGTGAGTTTTCTGTTGTATACAGAAGCTTTGTGAGTTTTCTGTTGTATACAGAAGCTTTGTGAGTTTTCTGTTGTATACAGAAGCTTTGTGAGTTTTCTGTTGTATACAGAAGCTTTGTGAGTTTTCTGTTGTATACAGAAGCTTTGTGAGTTTTCTGTTGTATACAGAAGCTTTGTGAGTTTTCTGTTGTATACAGAAGCATTGTGAGTTTTCTGTTGTATACAGAAGCATTGTGAGTTGTTTTCTGTTGTATACAGAAGCTTTGTGAGTTGTTTTCTGTTGTATACAGAAGCTTTGTGAGTTTTCTGTTGTATACAGAAGCTTTGTGAGTTTTCTGTTGTATACAGAAGCTTTGTGAGTTGTTTTCTGTTGTATACAGAAGCTTTGTGAGTTGTTTTCTGTTGTATACAGAAGCTTTGTGAGTTTTCTGTTGTGTACAGAAGCTTTGTGAGTTTTCTGTTGTATACAGAAGCTTTGTGAGTTGTTTTCTGTTGTATACAGAAGCTTTGTGTGTTTTCTGTTGTATACAGAAGCTTTGTGAGTTGTTTTCTGTTGTATACAGAAGCATTTTGAGTTTTCTGTTGTATACAGAAGCTTTGTGAGTTGTTTTCTGTTGTATACAGAAGCTTTGTGAGTTGTTTTCTGTTGTATACAGAAGCTTTGTGAGTTTTCTGTTGTATACAGAAGCTTTGTGAGTTGTTTTCTGTTGTATACAGAAGCATTGTGAGTTTTCTGTTGTATACAGAAGCTTTGTGAGTTTTCTGTTGTATACAGAAGCTTTGTGAGTTTTCTGTTGTATACAGAAGCTTTGTGAGTTTTCTGTTGTATACAGAAGCATTGTGAGTTGTTTTCTGTTGTATACAGAAGCTTTGTGAGTTTTCTGTTGTATACAGAAGCATTGTGAGTTTTCTGTTGTATACAGAAGCTTTGTGAGTTTTCTGTTGTATACAGAAGCTTTGTGAGTTTTCTGTTGTATACAGAAGCTTTGTGAGTTTTCTGTTGTATACAGAAGCTTTGTGAGTTGTTTTCTGTTGTATACAGAAGCTTTGTGAGTTTTCTGTTGTATACAGAAGCATTGTGAGTTTTCCGTTGTATACAGAAGCTTTGTGAGTTTTCTGTTGTATACAGAAGCTTTGTGAGTTGTTTTCTGTTGTATACAGAAGCTTTGTGAGTTTTCTGTTGTATACAGAAGCTTTGTGAGTTTTCTGTTGTATACAGAAGCTTTGTGAGTTGTTTTCTGTTGTATACAGAAGCTTTGTGAGTTTTCTGTTGTATACAGAAGCATTGTGAGTTTTCTGTTGTATACAGAAGCTTTGTGAGTTGTTTTCTGTTGTATACAGAAGCTTTGTGAGTTTTCTGTTGTATACAGAAGCTTTGTGAGTTTTCTGTTGTATACAGAAGCTTTGTGAGTTGTTTTCTGTTGTATACAGAAGCTTTGTGAGTTTTCTGTTGTATACAGAAGCATTGTGAGTTTTCTGTTGTATACAGAAGCTTTGTGAGTTTTCTGTTGTATACAGAAGCATTGTGAGTTGTTTTCTGTTGTATACAGAAGCTTTGTGAGTTGTTTTCTGTTGTATACAGAAGCTTTGTGAGTTGTTTTCTGTTGTATACAGAAGCTTTGTGAGTTTTCTGTTGTATACAGAAGCATTGTGAGTTGTTTTCTGTTGTATACAAAAGCATTGTGAGTTTTCTGTTGTATACAGAAGCATTGTGAGTTGTTTTCTGTTGTATACAGAAGCATTGTGAGTTGTTTTCTGTTGTATACAGAAGCTTTGTGAGTTGTTTTCTGTTGTATACAGAAGCTTTGTGAGTTTTCTGTTGTATACAGAAGCATTGTGAGTTGTTTTCTTTTGTATACAGAAGCATTGTGAGTTTTCTGTTGTATACAGAAGCATTGTGAGTTGTTTTCTGTTGTATACAAAAGCATTGTGAGTTTTCTGTTGTATACAGAAGCATTGTGAGTTGTTTTCTGTTGTATACAGAAGCATTGTGAGTTGTTTTCTGTTGTATACAGAAGCTTTGTGAGTTTTCTGTTGTATACAGAAGCTTTGTGAGTTTTCTGTTGTATACAGAAGCTTTGTGAGTTGTTTTCTGTTGTATACAGAAGCATTGTGAGTTGTTTTCTGTTGTATACAGAAGCTTTGTGAGTTGTTTTCTGTTGTATACAGAAGCATTGTGAGTTGTTTTCTGTTGTATACAGAAGCTTTGTGAGTTGTTTTCATAAACTAAGAGTATCTATATATTTCAATGTTTTTACGTTTTAAGTCTATGTTAAAATTCAGATGACTTTTTAAGACACTTAAGGTTCTCGGATCTAATCCTACACACTATCCAATGTATGTCTATAAATCTATGCAGTGTGTACATTTCTTTTTATAGATTTCTTTCCTCAAAAAGTCCATGGATAGGCCGAGGATGAAATTTTCCAAAGCATTTGAATGGTATATAATTTTATTTTCGTTGTTGTTGTTATTTATGTATTAACTGTATTAACTTTTTCCTAATTGAATATTTAAATTTGTGTAAAAAAAAAACGTTTCTATTCACTGTAACAGCTGAAAGCTGTGAAGGTTTATTTGGGGTGGTGAGGAGTGATTTTATTGATGATCCTACATGTGACACTCCAAATTGGCGATTGAGTTCCGACTGTATATTAGATTTTATCCTCGCCAAGTTTTTCTAATTTGATTTCAGTACTGTCATTTGTGTCTGATCACAAGTAATTATTAAATTAATTGATTAAATGTGGGATAGAATAAAAAATATATGAAGTTGCCCCTATTTCAGCAGTGACACTTCAGTAACACTGTCTGACTACCCTTACTTGTTGGCTGATCGTGAGGTTTTTTCCCAGGGTTGATTTTGTTTAGCAGTAAATATGTTGAATGTTTTTTTGTTTACCAGTTATTGTACCCGATGGAACCAGTACCATGAATATGATCCATTTATTGAGCCGAGTGCTGCCCAGCCTAGCAACCCTTGGATCACAGATGACTCTACTCTGTGGGAACTTAACAAATCCCTGTAAGATACGTTCAGTGGTAAATTTTCATCAATGAAGTGAATTTGCTGTTAGTATTTACAAAGTTTTCATTCACTATAGTTTTTATTACAATCATGTTACAAGTTTGTTGTGAAAATAAAAGCTCTGAGATAAAATTAATCTACAGACTTTATAATATGTATCTGGTTAATATATTTGTTGTGTAGGTTCCTTCATTAAATATCCAGGTCCAATTGATATATTGTTGTGTGTGTAGGTTTGTGGGTTAAATATCCAGGTCCAACTGATATATTGTTGTGTGTGTAGGTTTGTGGGTTAAATATCCAGGTCCAACTGATATATTGTTGTGTGTGTAGGTTTGTGGGTTAAATATCCAGGTCCAATTGATATATTGTTGTGTGTGTAGGTTTGTGGGTTAAATTTCTAGGTCCTATTTACGTATTTGTTGTGTGTGTAGGTTTGTGGATTAAATTTCTAGGTCCTATTTACGTATTTGTTGTGTGTGTAGGTTTGTGGGTTAAATATCCAGGTCCAACTGATATATTGTTGTGTGTGTAGGTTTGTGGGTTAAATATCCAGGTCCAACTGATATATTGTTGTGTGTGTAGGTTTGTGGGTTAAATATCCAGGTCCAACTGATATATTGTTGTGTGTGTAGGTTTGTGGGTTAAATATCGAGGTCCAATTGATATATTGTTGTGTGTAGGTTTGTGGGTTAAATTTCTATTTCCTATTTACGTATTTGTTGTGTGTGTAGGTTTGTGGATTAAATTTCTAGGTCCTATTTACGTATTTGTTGTGTGTGTAGGTTTGTGGGTTAAATATCCAGGTCCAACTGATATATTGTTGTGTGTGTAGGTTTGTGGGTTAAATATCCAGGTCCAACTGATATATTGTTGTGTGTGTAGGTTTGTGGGTTAAATATCGAGGTCCAATTGATATATTGTTGTGTGTAGGTTTGTGGGTTAAATTTCTAGGTCCTATTTACGTATTTTTTGTGTGTGTAGGTTTGTGGATTAAATTTCTAGGTCCTATTTACGTATTTGTTGTGTGTGTAGGTTTGTGGATTAAATTTCTAGGTCCTATTTAAGTATTTGTTGTGTGTGTAGGTTTGTGGGTTAAATATCCAGGTCCAACTGATATATTGTTGTGTGTGTAGGTTTGTGGGTTAAATATCGAGGTCCAATTGATATATTGTTGTGTGTGTAGGTTTGTGGGTTAAATATCTAGGTCCAATTGATATATTGTTGTGTGTGTAGGTTTGTGGGTTAAATATCTAGGTCCAATTGATATATTGTTGTGTGTGTAAGTTTGTGGGTTAAATATCCAGGTCCAACTGATATATTGTTGTTTGTGTAGGTTTGTGGGTTAAATATCCAGGTCCAACTGATATATTGTTGTGTGTGTAGGTTTGTGGGTTAAATATCCAGGTCCAACTGATATATTGTTGTGTGTGTAGGTTTGTGGGTTAAATATCCAGGTCCAATTGATATATTGTTGTGTGTGTAGGTTTGTGGGTTACATTTCTAGGTCCTATTTACGTATTTGTTGTGTGTGTAGGTTTGTGGATTAAATTTCTAGGTCCTATTTACGTATTTGTAGTGTGTGAAGGTTTGTGGGTTAAATATCTAGGTCCTATTGACATAGTTGTTGTGTGTGTAGGTTTGTGGGTTAAATTTCTAGGTCCTATTTACGTATTTGTTGTGTTTGAAGGTTTGTTGGTTAAATATCCAGGTATGGTTGATATATTTGTTGTGTGTGTAGGCTTGTATGTTAAAATATCTAGGCTCAGTTGACGTATTTGTTGTTTGTGTAGGTTCCTTGGTTGAAGTAATGTATGTATTGTGCCTGTAGGGTGTTTGGACAATTTTATACTTCTGTTGTTTTATTAAATGTAGTGAATTTGTTTGATATATGTGTGTTGTCGCTGTAGGGTTGCAAGTCCTACGGAATTGAGGGTAAAGAAGTGGAGCTTCAGCTTTTACGAACTTGTCTCGGATCAAACTGGATTGTCAGAATTTGAGAAGTATTTAGAAAAAGAATACAGCCAGGAAAATATACGATTCTGGAACGAAGTAGAAAAACTCAAGGATTGCCCATATAAGGAACTCAAGGACCGTATGGATCGGATTTATAAGTATGATACTCAGAAATAATATAAAAAATTGTGGTTAACTGTAGTGTCAACACAACATAACAGTTAAGAATGGTTACTATGTACAAAATAAAATAAATAGCTACCTCAGTGTAAATACACCTTGATGCATGTACACAAAGAAAATAACAGTATGTACATTTCTTTTTGACAATTACAAATTTGATAAAACATTTAAAAAACAAATTACAGTATGCATGGTTATTTCCATAGGTCAAAATTACCGTTAGTTTCTTTCTAAAAGGACCAAATCATATTTTAACTTTCTAAAATTTTGTGATCTTGGTGTTAAAGGTCATCTAATGCACACATCATTATTTCACGGATTAAAATTATGTAATGTACCCTGAAATAGTGAAAATAACCAGCCATACGGTACCTTACACCCAGCATTTAGTACAATGGTAAGTTCATCTAAACAGCAATGTTATAATGGAAAAAATAGGTTGCACCACTTTGATGTCATTGATGACATTATAGGCAACAAAATAGTTCAGCAAATTATTAGACATTTTCGTTTATCATGTATCATTATCTCAGATGTCTGGTATGTCTCTTCATATTAAAACCCTGATTTTATCAAGATTAGGGATGTAAGTTAATATCATGTATATATATTAGTAATGACAAGAATCTATCAATCATCCTGTGTAAATATTGATAAATACACACATAGGGATAAGCAAGACTAAACTTCGCAAGTGTAAACACTTGTATTAAAATATCTCTGATAATGACTAGAAGTGATTAATTATATAAGGACATTTTTAGAAAAGGTGTATTCATATTGGTTCTTTGAAGTCTTTCAAATTAATTCAAAATTTTGCAAACAACTATTATAACAACTTGTTGTATCTTATTTCAGAGAATTTCTAGAGAAGGGATCTACCTGTGAGGTTAATGTTGATTCTAAAACCATGGAACAAGTACATAAAAATTTAAAGGAGAAGTTTGGTCCCCGAAGGTTAGACATTATTACATCGTATATCACTCAATTAAATTCATTATTTTTTCCTGCAATGCTCATTTTTCATGAAATAAAAGATTTGAAATTGATGTTTTTGAAATTATGGTAGCAAATAAGAAAGAATTTTGTGTATTTTTGTGTCGCCTGCAAAGCTGGCGGACACTTAGGGATCACTTTGTCCGTTGTCACACAGCGTCGTCCGTACGAAAGCTTTCTGGACTTTTTTTGGTAATGCTTTGAGTTATCAAAATGAAATTTGGTATATGTCTTCTTGTTGCAAGGGTACAGATTAAGTTTGATTCCCGGTTGTCTGTGACTCTTTTTGGCAGAGTTATGCCCCTTTCAATTTAGAAAATTTCCTGGGAATATTGCTTTGCGCAGTTTTCCCTTTATGCTTCAAGTTATAGAAATGAAGTTTGGTATTACAACTTTATGGTTGATCGTTGCACATCCAGTTCAATATCTGGGTGACCGTGACATTTTATGCAGGCGACACATACAGTTCCGAGGAACTCTTGTATATACATTGTAACAGAAACTACCCTTAAGATACAGCAGAGGAGGAAAAAAAAACATTATACTGAAGAAGAAATTGTTTAATGTTGTAGTTTTTATCTCAAACTGTTTTATCTTACAGACGTTATGCGTATGACCCAGCTCAAGAACATATCTATAACTTAATGAAGAAGGACAGTTATGCACGTTACCTAAGATCTGATCACTACAAACAATTACTGGTACAGGCTAAACAGCACCCCTTCACCAAGAAAAAGTGAGTATCTAGAAACAGCTGTCACATCATTCTCAGTAGTATTTTGGCTTCTCAGTGTTAACAAAACTATTACTTTTCAGTATTTTATTTGAAGAAATATGCTATTAACACCATTGCTTGTAGGTTGTTCAATACTCTGACCTTGGACAGGTTGTTGTAAATGGCTCTATTATGTTGTATTTATCCAGATCATCCTGATCTTGGTTGAGTTTCAGTGAATGTGTGGCCTTCATGTATGTTCAAACAGTGTTTGACAGTTAGATTCAGTCAAAGTTTGACTGTGATTTGGTCCAGTCAGTATTGTGACTTTGGTCTTCATGGTCCTGTCATTGCTATGACCTTGGTCTGGGCTTAGTTAATATTTGACCTTGATTTGGTCCAGTCAATATTGTGACCTTTGTTCTGTTAATATATTACCCAGGTGTGGGTTGATTCAGTGCTGTGACCGACTTTGATTTGGGTGTAGTCAATTTTGTGACCTTGGTCTGGTCAATAATGTGCCCTTGAGCTGGTCAGCACATATATACTTTGACATTAGGGTAAGTCATTGCAAATTACTTGTTCCTGTCAACACTCTGAATAAGATTAATCTATGCTGGGAAATCAAACTGGACATTGTGAGAGGTCATAGGGAGGATGGAACTGGACACTTTAAGATGTCATAGGGAGGATGGAACTGGACACTTTAAGATGTCATAGGGAGGATGGAACTGGACACTTTAAGATGTCATAGGGAGGATGGAACTGGACACTGTTAGAGGTCATAGGAAGAGAACTGGGCACCGTTACAGGTCATAGGAAGAGAAGTGGGCACTGTTATAGGTCATAGGAAGAGAACTGGGCACTGTTAGAGGTCATAGGAAGAGAAGTGGGCACTGTTATAGGTCATAGGGAGGATGGAACTGGACACTTTAAGATGTCATAGGGAGGATGGAACTGGACACTGTTAGAGGTCATAGGAAGAGAACTGGGCACCGTTACAGGTCATAGGAAGAGAAGTGGGCACTGTTATAGGTCATAGGAAGAGAACTGGGCACTGTTAGAGGTCATAGGAAGAGAAGTGGGCACTGTTATAGGTCATAGGAAGAGAACTGGGCACCGTTACAGGTCATAGGAAGAGAAGTGGGCACTGTTATAGGTCATAGGAAGAGAACTGGGCACTGTTATAGGTTGATTGAAGGATAGAACTGGACACTGTTATAGGTCATAGGAAGAGAAGTGGGCACTGTTATAGGTCATAGGAAGAGAACTGGGCACTGTTATAGGTTGATTGAAGGATAGAACTGGACACTGTTATAGGTCATAGGAAGAGAACTGGGCACTGTTATAGGTCATAGGAAGAGAACTGGGCACTGTTATAGGTTGATTGAAGGATAGAACTGGACACTGTTATAGGTCATAGGAAGAGAAGTGGGCACTGTTAGTGGTCAGAGGGAGATAGAACTGGACACTATTGGAGGTCGAATGAAGGATAGAACTAAACACTTGTATAGATAAAAAAGAATAGAACTGGACACTGTTAGTGGTCTAAGGGAAGGCTGAATTTGTCTCCGAGGGAAGGTAGGATTACTTACCACATAGCTACAAAGCCAATATGATACATGATCGAAAATTATTTAATACAAATTGGAGTCTGTAAAGAATCATTGTATTGGGTTTAGTAGGGGTTTAAAATAAGGATGAGTCATAATTCCTTCTAAGACAAGTTTTGATGTTCATATTCACATACATAATACCTATTTACAGTTCTCCATTCACAGCTCCACTGAAGTAAGAACAATATACAGACACTTTACTTGTATTCAAACATTAGCCTATGGTATTTATGGCCCAATAAAAGCATCTTGTCAGCTGAATATTTTAAAGGTTGTATCAATGTCCTTACCAGGAGATACAATCACGGATGTATAGATTAATGGTATCAGTAAGCTATAGAGCATGCAATCATTACGATATCCAGGAGCATGAATTTGTTTGCGGTCCCTTGTCAGTTCTATGATGTTTTATGCATTTTCTATATACTTTGATGCATTAAGTATTATGATACTGAAGGGGATATCCTACCTTTTTAAAGTGGTACACATTGATCTCCTTTCCAAAAGAATTTCCAGGCTGCTGATTAATGCTATATGTCTTTCCATGTATATTTGGAGTGAATTGATGGCAGTTTTGATTTCAAAATGTGTAATGAAGGCTTCAAAGAAAGATTAAGGGAGATAACTGTAAAACAAATATCAGTAATCCAAGATTATGACGTAAGATAACAGTTTTTTCAAAGGTTTTTAGTTAAAGAATACTAAATGTAAGATGTAGCTGCTATATCATAGGAAGATTTGACAGAAATATTGATGTACAAGGTATTTAGGGTTTGGTACTATTTACCTGAAAATCTTGCTTGATAAGGGTTTTTTCACTCACAACTGATGTCCTAGTATATATATTTTGAAGCCACTACACAGTCACTTGATCAAAATTAACGTCAGACCTTTTGCTTCATTGTATATTGGTACTTGAGAATTATAGCTTGCATGAAATGCTTTATTATGTATATATTTGACTAGAAATACTTTTTTTGGGCTGTATAGTTATATATCTACTGGTAAATGTACATCATAAGGAAACAACAAATTTACTGGATTGAGAAAGAAAACTCAGTTCCTGTTAGAAGTAATAGTTCTTTGTATCGGAATTCAAATAGAATTTTTATCCTGATAATGTATAAAAGCCTGAGTTTTACATTAGCACCTGGATCATGAATCTTGTTTTTTTGTTTTTGTTTTTGGTTTATGGTTTTTCTAATATCTAGAAAAAGAGTTCGCCACAATGTATTAATGCGCAGACAGCAATATTCCTAATGGCTTATGAAATGTGTGATTTCTGAGTCAGCAATTATAAGTGTGTTTTCCTTTATCATCAGTATAATTATAGAGTTGTCTCAGTCAATATTTAGCAAATCTGGAAAATTGATCTTCCACAGAAGTGCCCAAAAAATCTTGTTTTCCATCTTGATATAAAGCAAAAACTTATTTTCTGTGACTAGTGATACTTTATAAGAAGGATATAGTAATTAAATAATAGAAAACCAATTTTTAGTGAAAATGTACAAATAACGGGTGAATTTTCCTCGTGACCATCACCATGACCATTTTATATTGGCTCATAGAAAGTTTTCATAGGTTACAACTCCTACACCTATTAACCTGAGTACTGTACAGATTTTTAATGTGTTTTGTTGACAATTTTTATAGTGGAAATGAAAATTGTACAAATTTATAATGTGTTTTGTTGACAATATTTACAGTGGAGATTATGCAACGTTAAAAAGGATGTAAGCATTTCGGCACCACTTTTCCAGTGTGTGTCGCCACCTGTGTGTGTAACTCTGACTACAAAGTCTTTCCTATGTAGCCACCTCTTGGTGGACGTTTGTCATAATTGTTTGAAATATTTCTGTATTTTAGTTGATAACCATGATCATGTTTTCCATGTATTTTCTCCTAAATGTGTATTGTGTGCATTTTTGCCTCATTCAAACTCATTCAATTTTCGTTACCTGATTGATACGTCGCGTGATCTCAATTTTCTCCTGTTATAGATTTTTGTGTCACCTCAGCAGTTTTTCACTCTACAGATTTGTGTGTTTTGAAATTTTGAATGAATCACCGATTTATTTGGTTTGAATTTTACTATATTTCTTATTGATTTAAGTAATGGTTAGTTCTTTTGTCTTGTGTGAGGCACTAGGATGCATTATTTATTTAATCTGTTTAGAAACATGAAAATGTGATTTAAATTTAATTTTTCTTCCTGTGCTTTTTGTTGATTGTATTTCAGAATTTTTGCCTGATCATCCTAATTGACAGAAGTTAGAGTTATAAATGACTACTGAAATCTTACCTGTAATGTTTGTTCAAAGTTTCCACAAAAATTGTAACAGATCTATTAAAGTGTCAGTCACTATTGGACCAATGATAAAAATCTGAAAGGGACATCACCCATACTGTATTTGTGTACCACTGACAGCAAAGCCCTGTTGCTTCAATCATTAAACTTACATGTGAAGGAATGTCTAGAAATCTAGGTAAACATGTCTTTTGACCTGTTTGTATATTAATTAGCACTGTGCACAATATTATAATGACCTGAAGTAATGAAGTTATTAACAGGAGATAGACATTGTTATGGATAATGCATGCTTATTAAATGAAGTTTCAGAGAGGTACATAAATTGAAATGTACACAAGTATTAATATTTTGCATGTTGTAAGTGAAATGCAATGTTTTGTGCGGAAATATTTAATCATATATTAATCAAGATGATGTTGTTTGTGTATATAATATACTTGTATTTAATCTACCTTTCTTCATCAATCTAAGATGTGGTAAATTTTTTTAATATCTTTTTGAATGCAAAATCCCAGTCATGAAATTCTGTGTTGTTTTGATGCCTTAGATGATTTAATAACATGTCTTAAATTGAATTCCTGGGTGACTTGACTTCATAAATTATGAATATTATTATACAAGATGTGATGGCTATTCTGCCATTCCATTACAGATTCTTTAGTTGGAGTAATAAGAGTAAACAACAGGCACAGCCTCAACAAAGGCCAACAACTCCGAGTCCAAAGGTGGCGAGGCGTCGCGACAGCAATTCCAGCGATCGGTCACGTGATGTTAGCTCTGATGTCAGCGGTGGTGACTCCCCAGTGCACATGGCTGCTCCCCATCACTCGTACAGTACCAGTGACCTGAAGGAACTGGGCAACAACCAGAAACCCGCCCTTAACCAGGGGTAAGTTGTTCATATTTTTTTGTTATTATTTGTACATTGTGTTGATTATTGTATTTATTTTAATGGATGATTGATTTTAGTAGTTTTAGTTTATTGATATTTTCACATTACCATGTATTTTAGTTTTGATATGTTGATAATGTCACTGAAACAAGAAGTGGTTTTTTTTTAATCTTATAACCAGACCTGTATATATTCCTGTACTGGGTACTGAGCCCTTGTCTCCCCTCCAAACAATACGATGTTCACTTACACTTATAACCAGACCTGTATATATTCCTGTACTGGGAACTGAGCCCTTGTCTCCCCTCCAAACAATATGATGTTCACTTACACTTATAGCCAGACCTGTATATATTCCTGTACTGGGTACTGAGCCCTTGTCTCCCCTCCAAACAATACGATGTTCACTTACACTTATAACCAGACCTGTATATATTCCTGTACTGGGAACTGAGCCCTTGTCTCCCCTCCAAACAATACGATGTTCACTTACACTTATAACCAGACCTGTATATATTCCTGTACTGGGAACTGAGCCCTTGTCTCCCCTCCAAACAATATGATGTTCACTTACACTTATAACCAGACCTGTATATATTCCTGTACTGGGAACTGAGCCCTTGTCTCCCCTCCAATGTTCACTTACACTTATAACCAGACCTGTATATATTCCTGTACTGGGAACTGAGCCCTTGTCTCCCCTCCAATGTTCACTTACACATATAACCAGACCTGTATATATTCCTGTACTGGGAACTGAGCCCTTGTCTCCCCTCCAATGTTCACTTACACTTATAACCAGACCTGTATATATTCCTGTACTGGGAACTGAGCCCTTGTCTCCCCTACAAACAATATGATGTTCACTTACACTTATAGCCAGACCTGTATATATTCCTGTACTGGGAACTGAGCCCTTGTCTCCCCTCCAATGTTCACTTACACTTATAGCCAGACCTGTATATATTCCTGTACTGGGAACTGAGCCCTTGTCTCCCCTACAAACAATATGATGTTCACTTACACTTATAGCCAGACCTGTATATATTCCTGTACTGGGAACTGAGCCCTTGACTCCCCTCCAAACAATACGATGTTCACTTACACTTATAGCCAGACCTGTATGTATTCCTGTACTGGGAACTGAGCCCTTGTCTCCCCTACAAACAATACGATGTTCACTTACACTTATAACCAGACCTGTATATATTCCTGTACTGGGAACTGAGCCCTTGTCTTCCCTACAAACAATATGATGTTCCCAATCAGTAGTTATTACCTACCACCCTTTTCACACACATTCTTTTTCTTACATTGATTGTGTTTTTGGACTTGTAGGTCCGTTTAAATAGATTTGTTTTGTTACAATTTTTCACTTCTGTTGACTCTCCAGCTTTAAGGGGTCTGACAACAGTATTTCTATCAGGTAAGACACTGGCTTTGGTGAAGGCTTGCTGGTTCTGATTGTGCTATGCTAAAACATGGTACTGTTCTCTACAGAGCTAGCTGTTGTCACGTTATAATATTGTACTCACTAGGCTAGTGTTGTCACTGTCATTGTCCCACACATCACATTGGCTAGCTGTGGTCAAGTTATAATATAGTAAACAATAGGCTAGTTTTGTTGCTTTTATGATACTGTGCCCACACATCACATAGACTAGCTGTTGTAACTGTTATGATACTGTGCCCACACATCACATAGACTAGCTGTTGTAACTGTTATGATACTGTGCCCACACATCACATAGACTAGCTGTTGTAACTGTTATGATACTGTGCCCACACATCACATAGACTACCTGTTGTAACTGTTATGATACTGTGCCCACACATCACATAGACTAGCTGTTGTAACTGTTATGATACTGTGCCCACACATCACACAGACTAGATGTTGTCACTGTTATGATACTGTGCCCACACATCACACAGACTAGATGTTGTCACTGTTATGATACTGTGCCTAAACATCACATAGATTAGCTGTTGTAACTGTTATGATACAGTGCCCACACATCACATAGACTAGCTGTTGTAACTGTTATGATACTGTGCCCACACATCACACAGACTAGAAGTTGTCACTGTTATGATACTGTGCCCACACATCACATAGACTAGCTGTTGTCACTGTTATGATACTGTGCCCACACATCACACAGACTAGATGTTGTCACTGTTATGATACTGTGCCCACACATCACATAGACTAGCTGTTGTCACTGTTATGATATTGTACCCACACATCACACAGGCTAGCTGTTGTCACTGTTATGATATTGTACCCACACATCACACAGACTAGATGTTGTCACTGTTATGATACTGTGCCCACACATCACACAGACTAGATGTTGTCATGTTATGATACAGTGCCCACACATCACACAGACTAGATGTTGTCATGTTATGATATTGTGCCCACACATCACACAGACTAGATGTTGTAACTGTTATGATACTGTGACCACACATCACACAGACTAGATGTTGTCACTGTTATGATACTGTGCCTACACATCACACAGACTAGATGTTGTCACTGTTATGATATTGTGCCCACACATCACACAGACTAGATGTTGTCACTGTTATGATATTGTACCCACACATCACACAGACTAGATGTTGTCACTGTTATGATATTGTACCCACACATCACACAGACTAGCTGTTGTCACTGTTATGATATTGTACCCACACATCACACAGACTAGCTGTTGTCACTGTTATGATATTGTACCCACACATCACACAGACTAGATGTTGTCACTGTTATGATATTGTGCCCACACATCACACAGACTAGATGTTGTCACTGTTATGATACAGTGCCCACACATCACACAGACTAGATGTTGTCACTGTTATGATACTGTGCCCACACATCACACAGACTAGATGTTGTCATGTTATGATACTGTGCCCACACATCACACAGACTAGATGTTGTCATGTTATGATACACTGCCCACACATCACACAGACTAGATGTTGTCATGTTATGATATTGTACCCACACATCACACAGACTAGATGTTGTCACTGTTATGATATTGTACCCACACATCACACAGACTAGCTGTTGTCACTGTTATGATATTGTACCCACAAATAACATAGACTAAGCAATGTATCCTGGCTGGGTCACAGTTTGTCGGTATTAAGTATTATTACAAAGCTGCATGTCATTGCATTCAGATCCTTAATTCCATTTCCCATACTTTGTTGTCAACTACTTGTTTTAGTTCCTACATGAATACCAGAACTTGCTGATTTGCCATAGCTATGTCCAAACCTTCCTGTTTGCTTTGTTGTTTTTCTGTTTTTCATGTGGTGCATCTTGAACTATCTAGAAGGGAAACGGTTGATATACTTGTCTCTAAAATCTTATAGTCTTTTTAGTGACTTGGCACTCAGTATAAATTAATTTTTACACATTGCACCTCTGCAGAAGCCTGTTTCAACGCTCAGCTAGCCTAGATATGTGGAGGATGGATTCCAAGTCAGTAAACCAGGTGATAGCTTGTTACACCTGGCTGATAAACATGGCTGAAATGTTTCTTAAGTCAAAACTCTTCAAAGTCAAAGTAAAAATCACATTTTCTCTTATCTAGACAACTTTTTCAAATAAAAATAACTTTGTTTGGAGAGTTTTGATTGAAGGCAAAGTCAGCCAAATCTCAACATTAATTTATATCAATATTTACAAGACATATATTAGGATGGTATCCATACTCTTACCTGTTAAAATTTTGCAGTAACTTGAAGGATCTGTTCTATTTATATACTATATATCTACTTGTAATGTATGTAATTTACTTTATGAGATCTTCTGACATTAAAAAATTTGACCTGGTTATAATCTACTTGTCAACAATCTACTAGTCCACTTTTCATATTGCACTTTGACAATCTGTCTACCTGTTATCTGTCTGTTGACAATCTACCCGTCTATTATCTATATGTTGACAATCTACCCGTCTGTTATCTATGTGTTGACAATCTACCCGTCTGTTATCTGTTTGTTAACAATTTTCCTGTCTGTTATCTATGTGTTGACAACCTACCTGTCTGTTATCTGTCTCTTGACAATCTACCTGTCTGTTATCTATATGTTGACAATCTACCTGTCTGTTATCTATATGTTGAAAATCTACCCGTCTGTTATCTGTCTGTTAACAATTTTCCTGTCTGTTATCTATATGTTGACAATCTACCTGTCTGTTATCTGTCTGTTGACAATCTACCTATCTGTTATCTATGTGTTGACAATCTACCTGTCTGTTATCTATGTGTTGACAATCTACCTGTCTGTTATCTATATGTTGACAATCTACCCGTCTATTATCTGTCTGTTAACAATTTTCCTGTCTGTTATCTATGTGTTGACAATCTAACTGTCTGTTATCTATATGTTGACAATCTAATCTACCTGTCTGTTATCTATATGTTGACAATCTACCCGTCTGTTATCTGTCTGTTAACAATTTTCCTGTTAACAATCTATCTATTATCTATGTGTTGACAATCTACCTGTCTGTTGACAATCTACCTGTCTGTTATCTGTATGTTAACAATTTTCCTGTCTGTTATCTATATGTTGACAATCTACCTGTCTGTTATCTGTCTGTTAACTATTTTCCTGTCCGTTATCTACCTGTCTGTTGAGAATATACCTGTCGATAATCTATTTGTTGACAGTCTTCCTGTCCGTAAGCTGTCTGTAGATAATCTTCCTGTCCACAATTAGTGCCACAATTAATCTGTCTACAACCTTGTTGTCTACAATTTACCCGTCCAGAATTTATTTGTCCACGATCTGCCCACAACCTGTGTGTTCGCAATTTATCTTTCTACAACCTACCTGTTCTCAATCTACCTGTCCACAACCTGTCTGTTCGCAATTTACCAGTCCACAATCTACCTGTTCTCAACTTACCTGTCTACAACCTGTCTGTTTACAACTTACCTTCCCATAATCTACCTGTCCACATCCTACCTGTCCACAATTTATCTTGCAGTTCACAAACTACCTATTCAAAATCTGGCTGCAATGTTTTTGCTGTTATCAGATATGTCAGTTATTTCACTTATATCAAATTTCATATTCATTGTTGGAATGCTATTGATGTGCCAATAGAAAATTTGTTAGAATATTCTTATTACATTATTTTTATTGTTATTACATTATTTTTATTGTATCATTTATATGTATAGAACCATATGCTTTTAATACAATTTTTTGTCTAGTTCATATCATGTACCTGAATATTTCATTTCTTTCAAATTGTATGTAAAAATGATATCATGTATATTATTTCTGCTGTTCTGTCCAGGTTTTGTTGTTTTCAACTTTAAACTGAAATTTTCTGTCATATACTGGTACACTATGATGGGAACACCTGAACCAATTATAATGTGTTACAGATTAGTGGCAGAAATGACCACCTGTTCAGTTAAAGATTAAATCAATGATTTATTATACTTAGTGCACATTATATTTAAATGCTAAGAACCAAAGTTAACTTCTACAAAAACATTTTAGTAAACAGGTCTTCAGTTGTGTTGTATAGTGTTTTCATTATTATGTAGATTAAACCTATATAATCCAGATACCTGTATAAACTAAATCTACATTTAACACTATACATTTCTCTGTAAATTGAACATGTGTAATCCAGATACCTGTATAAACTAAATCTACATTCAACACTATACATTTCTCTGTAAATTGAACATGTGTAATCCAGATACCTGTATAAACTAAATCTACATTCAACACTATACATTTCTCTGTAAATTGAACATGTATAATCCAGATACCTGTATAAAACAGTTCTTCAACTCTGTCATTCAAGATGAATTCTTGTGTAGGTTGAACCTATGTAATCAGGACACCTTGTTGTAAAAGCGAGATCTCTAACTATATGTAGACAGTTTTTGTACAGATCAAATGCTTTGTAATACATCATGTTGTACCTATAGATGATCTTTCCTGATTCGGAATTTAATTTGATTTTCTATGAAAGAGATTTTGAATGCTGTACTCATTATTTACTATCTAGATATTCCCACAATAAGTAACAATCTAGTGAAGAATATTAAGTCTTAAGGAAGTTCCAGATAATTGCTGCCTTCAATAAAAGCTATTGGAATATTGTGTGTTTCAGCACCATTTCCCCTAATGTAAGACGTCGATCTGATGACCCTGGGCGTGGCAATGCACTTGCTAATAAACGACGTAGCAACCTGGAAGTACCAAGGCCCTACCCTCTCACCTCGACAACTGACAAACGCAAGTCTGAGAGTGTGCCATTCAAGACAAACAGCATTGCTCCCCTCGCGGAGAAGTAATTCACTAAAATACTAACTGTTAAGCGTGTCAGTTGCATTTTTCCACATTCTAAGTACTATAACTTAATTGGAATCTTTCATGTTTACACAATTTTGAAAACCGTTTGTCCCTTCAACACATTCTTATTATTGGGAAATTAAATTTCTTACACTTGTTTATGTTGATTGCCCACCGCCATGTTGTTTTATAATGTGTTTAGTGTTGACTGTGTGCACCTATAGAAACACATTCGTTAACAATCACATTTCTGTAGCATTGGTGTCTTTTTATATTCTAAAGAGACCAGTGTGTTACACACATTCCCTTTTTGCACCTTTTTTCACTTTTCCTCCAAGTAATATTGTGCATGGGTTTGGTTGTTGACCTGTTTGTCTTTACCTGTGAAGTTTCTCTAGCTCATGGTTTTAGAGGATGAGTCACTTACAATTATGTTGTTGTTAGTCCTAGTGTACTGTGCTATACAGAGGGCCTGCCTGGGTCGCTGAACCACACCATATCCCAACATTATAGGTACCCATACAACAATTCAGTCTATATTTGTGATCAAGTTTCAAGACTTTTGAAAAAAAAATTACTTTTGCATCAGCTGGTTATATCTGAAGTGTTTCAAATTCATTTTAAACAAGTTCTTTTTTCAACAATGAATGCTCTGGTAAAAATCAGAATTGGTTTTAGATGTGAGTGACAACGAAAACTGTGTAAAATGACTCGTCTTCACTGTTCTCTGATCTTCTCTTGCTTTGTCATCAGGGAATGGTTTACGTTATCCTTTTGCCTTATAAAAGTGATCAGTGAATCTTTCTTCTATATTTCCTTGCTATAATTCAGTAATCAAAATTGCCCTTTGAACTTTACTTGCTATATTTCCGTAATTAACCAATTGTCCTTTGATCTCTCCTTGCTGTGTTCCTTGTTATACTTGATTGATTGGTGAGTTGTTTTTAGATCATCTATCAATATTGATATCATGTTTGTAATTTCTTGAAATTTGAGCATGTTATTTTAACTTTCAAGTACATTCTTATTGATATGCATAATTAATTTTGGTCTTCTCATTTCTTTTAAAAGTTTTTAAAACACATTTGAGCATCTCTTTTGGGAGTAAATGATAGGATTTTTAGATATATGTAGATAGCAGGAACTATTTGATAGTTATTTGATTCATCTACAGAAGGTTTTATTTCAAAGACAGATGCATTTTCACGATCGAAGTAACTATATCTTCTCACTCAATGTATACAAAAGTGATCGCAGATGACTAACAGACCTGTACTCTCGTTTCTTGTACGGTTATCACATTTTGATATTATGTACTGTGCATTTTATCAATTCAAATTTTTTTTTATAATGTTAATATATCAAATATATATAAACTTACACTATACCTTTGTTATGACCTGTTAATGTATCTTTAGTGAATGTATGATCAGATTGTTAAAATACACTAGAAAATTTGCAGGCTTTCTTGAAGATATGTGTCGATGGTGGATGAATATAAGGCATCACACCTACATTTATTGTAATACAATATGATCACCTTATGACATAGTGTCATTACAGTAATACCAGATGAAATACTGTTTTTACAATTATTAGCCGTAATTAAACCTCAAATCATTTAAATAGGAGGGTGATTATAGAAACAAAGCAGTATTCTTATGACAGAAGCTTTCACGACAAACAACCAACAGAGAAAATGGTTATTATTTTCTGTTTTTCTGGTATATTCCAAAATGATTAGAGGATAAACCTGTCTCCTACAAAGAAGGATTCTGTATGTTTGTGCTCTAATTGACATAGGATCATGAGTTATTGTAATTATCGCACATGACATTTATCTATATTTAGACATCAGTGACCAATACATGTTCAAACTGAACAGAAACTTAACATATACATCACGTTTGCTAGAGGTAGGTTTGTGTAAAAAGTACTTTGTGATGTGTTGTTCCACTGACACAGGGCTGTTGTGAAACATATCTATAACAAAGCCAGTGAACATTTACTGGTAGTTAAAACATATTGGTTTTCTCAGCGTTATCAATTAACACAGTGTGTTATGGTGCATGTTCCAAGCTGTGTTAATGTTTTATAAAAATCTGATTTGATAATACAAAATCAAATCACCGTGAAACTTTTTGATAAAGGAGTCCACATGATTTATATGTCCTATTTCAAATTTTTTTATCATGATAGGATTGTTAATATCTTTTTCATTGTCAACAAATCAGTATTAAATATATGATATTTGGACAGCATTTTTAATAAGACATGATTATTAAAACTGTGCCAAGCTTATCCAACTTTTACGTCTTCAATATTTGAAATTTCTCATTCTAATGAAGATCTCTCTAATTTAGTTTGTTTTAGGTCACCTTAGACAAAGTCTCATGGTGACCTATGGCAGTCACTTTTGTCCAGCGTCGTACGTCTGTAAACAATTCAACATTTTCAACTTCTTCTCATAAATCCCTAAACCAAATTCAATGAAATATGGTAGAAACCTTTCCTGACCGAAGATGAACCAGAATTGTGACTTATAAAGTCCCCACACCACAGGGGCCCAAGGGGCAGGGTAAGAAAGGGATCAAATTGACCTGAATTTCAAAAATATTCTTCTCAACACCCAGATTTGGTAGAATCAAATACTCTTCATAGATGGAAGCATCTTAAGGTGCTTTACCAAAATTGTGAATTTCATGGCACAAGGGTCTCGCATTTCCCAGTGGGAAGGGGGTAAATTTACCAAAGTTTTTTGTTTTTCTTGAAATATGGGGAAAATTTTAATCTGTTTTGGGTGTATATAAAAATCCATGTTTAGATTTTAAGAAGTGATACTAAAAATCAGATATGTCATTACGTCTTTAAAGATAATGTTAAATAATGTATTCATATATACTTGTGCAACAACATGTCATTGTTTTTATACTTTTTTCTCTGGGACCTTATTACCAGTTTTAGAAATTTTTAAAAGAAGGTATGGAAAATATGTAATGAAACAAATACTTCCTTGTTTACAAAAGACAAGTGTAGGTAAGACACAGCTTTTGTTATGAGAAGTTTATCTGATGTCACAGGCCATTGTGCAATATAACCCATCCATCAAAAATTTCCTCATAACTTTATGTTCATTTGGCCCCTGTGCAATATGATTCATATACAATGTATCGCAAACAGCCTTCTACGTGTTTAATTTGCTACAGGCCCCTGTGCAATATGACTCTTCTAATTACATATTATAACAAAGCTGCTGTTTCCTTTTCAGTACAAACCATGTATTATAGATAACTGTTTATCTACAGACCCCAGTGTAACATGATCCAATTATTATAAACATTTTCCTGACTATTATGTGCTGCATGTCCTTGTGTAATGTGAACAAATTTTCTCTTGTTACTTTACAATATGAACCTTTTATTACAAACGTCTTACATTCTTCATGTTCCTGTGCTATATGGTAAATAGTTTCTTTACTATAATGTGCTGCATGAGGAACCATTTGTCATTAAAATTTCCTAACAACAATATGCTACAGGCCCCTGTGCAATATGAATCATTTGTCATAAAAATGTCCTTACTATAACAAGCTAGAGGTCCCTGTGCAATATGAAAACAATATCAAACAGGATCCAGTGCAAAATGAACCACCTGTCATAAAATTTCCTTACTAGAATATGCTGCATGCTTCTGTGAAGAAGGAACCATCTAGTTAGATGTCTAGTTATTTTCACGGAGTCAGTGCTTACGAAGTAAATTGTCTCATTTTTTTGGAGATTACCATTCCACATTATAATAGGAGGTTATAGATTATTGTCATCACCATGTCTTTTGATAGGTATTTTATATTTGTTAAGTTTATTGTAACAGTTCTTTCATTTGGCTGAAGATGTTTTGAGCTGTTTTTTTTATATAATTTTAATATGTTGAATTTTTGTGCCAGGAAGGATTATGATATTGTTGCTCTGAGTATATATATGAACACACAATGGTAGATATTTACAAACACATGTGTTTTTGTTACTCTAGTCAAAACCTATTTTAATTCCACATCTAAAAGTACATTGTTTTTTTTATAGATTTCTTAGAATCTTACATTTCCTTTTTCCCTTTTTTATTGGAAAATTACTGTAAATTTTCTTTTTCCTTCTATATTTTAAATCACTGACGTTTATAGTTGCCACTGGTTGACTTTGTTTACCATAATGGTATTAGATGACAACCACCTTTTTAGAGAACTAACTACTAGTAGTATTTATCTTCCCTTTCCTTTGATACTTTTTTTTGTATTTTCTAGTATGGAAAGCATTTTGAAAATTAATGATATTACATAGCAATGATGCTAATGCCATGACGTTGATGCCATGATGTTGATGCAATGTCTTGCATGCCATTGTTACCCCAAGTCTTGGCGTTTGTGATGAAAATGCCATTTCATGCTTTTTTCTTTTTCCCCCCCCCTCATCGAAGTCATGACATACGGTATTATTTTGTTGAACAGTATGTTAACATGTAGTGTATAGCTTCAATAATTCTCTTGTTGGTAACAGATACATCACTTTAATTGCTATGGAATCAATTGTAATTATATATATACAAGGGGCAAACACTGGAGAGCCCACATAGATAATCAGTATATGTATGCCATTGGATACAGTTATAGTTTATCCTTCTAAATCTTTAGAAAGAGATTTTTTTAATTATTTTTTCATTTCATTTAAAGATAGCATTCTTATAATGACATTCCATATCAATGGTATTTTAGGTTTGAAGCAGAAATATGATTTGTACTAACAATCATTTGCTTTGAGTACCTACCTGTTTAAACAGGTAGTTTGTACAATATGGTTCATGCCAAGTCTGCTCATCTTTGAAATATGTTTCTGACATAACCATATCTTCAACAAGCAATGTGGAACTAGCTACAATAGTTTAGTGAGTACATGTGTATATATATTGTACATGATCAACTATTGTACTGAATAATAGCAGCTATAAGGCTTTATATGTAATGTTTGTTAATTGTTAAAAGGGAAATAAGCCCAATGGTGTAAATCTGGCCATCAACGGGTATTGCAGTAAACCAGTCTGCCCATCAAGTGGTATTGTAGTGAACCAATATGGCCACCAAGTGGTATTGTAGTGAACCAATATGGCTACAGACAGGATCAAACACCTACATCATTCAGTCCATATCAAGTGAATTTATATTTTGTACCACAACCTCTACATTTTCAGCCAAATCTTCTTAATCAGGAAAAAAAAATCAAATATTGATTTCTGATGTATCACTGTTCTAAAATTGTACCTTGAAACTTTTGTTTTTCAATAAATTTTAACACAACAAAAACATCTCCTCTATATGTGTGATTAATGTTGTAAAAGGAGAGATGTAGCGTTAGCTTAAAGCTCAACATATCATGGATGACTGATGATAAGCCCAGGGTCTATAGAAAAGGGGTCAGACATGGGTCCTTATCTTACTGAATACAGTTATTTTCACTATTACAGACCTGAGGATTTCTCTTTAGCTTTAGGGTAGATCATAGTTACGTCTACCTAAGGAGGAAACTCTTGATTGTCTAACTCAAGACTATCGGTAGCTTGACAGTAGTACAGGGAAATCTCTACCCAAGATGGAGATTGTTTGGGGAGTTTGGATGGATATCAATAATATATAACAAGCTGTATGATAAGTGTGATTTCAATTTCTCTATTGTAAATTTTCCATTTCTGGAAGATCATCATTCCTGCATCCTGTACCTATAGTGTTTACCTATATGTTTTAGTTGACTTGATACTCAGACTTATTTCAATAACACAATTTCATGCAAGATGTCAGCAACTGACAGGCAAACTCACAACACATTATTTCTAGAGATGCAAGTTGACGAAAACAATAGGGAAGTTTTATGGTCATCATAGTGATCTCATTGCAAAATAATCATAAGGGAATGTGACATTACCTGCTTTTATTGACCCAAGCAGCAGAAGACACTCTTCTGAAACACCTGGTCTTCTTCACCTTGTACTTTTTCAGGTGTCACATGTGAATCTCTCTTTTGTTCCTATTTTGCCCTAGTTTTATTGAATTTGAATTTAGATCATGATTCTGTTGACATGTTGGCATTTTCCTGTTGTACTTATGAGCATGGTATAATGGGTGATTTAGAGTCAACAAGATAATCCTAACTCCAGGGATAATCTAAACTACATGGATAAACTTGATAATCCAAACTTCAGCGATAAACAAGATAATCCTAACTCCAAGGACAATCCAAACTCTAGGGTAAACAAGATAATCCTAACTCCAGGGACAATCCAAACTCTAGGGTAAACAAGATAATCCTAACTCCAGGGACAATCCAAACTCTAGGGTAAACAAGATAATCCTAACTCCAAGGACAATCCAAACTCTAGGGTAAACAAGATAATCCTAACTCCAGGGACAAACAAGATAATCTAAACTCTGAGGTAAACAAGATAATGTTGTATGAATGTTGTATTTTAATGTCAAAATTGACTTCAAGGAAATCCCAACCAAGTTTGAATGTCCAGAAATCCAAAGATAAAAATCCTTAACCATGGATAGAAACTTCACCAACATTAACAATGAAAATAAATCTTCCTTATCTCAACTGAATTTCACCACAGAGTGGGTTTATGACCGAACTAGGGCTTATCATCAGTGACATATGATACTTATAAATATACATCATAATCTGTGATTACACAAGTGCTAGTTATGAAGTTATGGCATAGGGAATAGAATTTTGAAATTAAGCATATTCTGTAATATGATCTGTATTTCCTATGAAAACTGATTAAAATATGGACCTATCAACTTAATGTAGACATGATACTGGTGATACAATCGACTTCAGTCACTACATGTGGTGTATTTTATGAAAACAATATTGTAACAGTAGTCAGATAACCACAAACTCCAGTTTATTTTTTTAACTATTCCCAAGATATATTTTACCAAGTTATCAAATTTTTTTATATTTAATGATGATCTTCTTATTGGATTTATTATAATCAGATGTATTTTTTGTACATTGTACAGAAGGTTATTTTTTCCATGACCTCTTGCACTTTTAGGAAATCCCTTGAATAGCAAATATCATTGAACTATAAGATAATTACATATAGTTATTGGTGCTGCTATTGTTTATGTCTTTCAAACATAAAAAAAAATTATTTTCTTTTTAGGAATATAATCATACCATTTTTGATTAATGAAAATAAGATAAAATGTAAATGTTCTTTACCAATTTCATTCATTGAAACCAGATTGTTTTAATA